ATACCGCCCTGTAGTTTGTTTATTGTCTGTTTCATTGCCAAATTCAGTATCACACTGATCCAGCAAACGTTCCAGAATGCATCATTTTGTTTCATTTAATATTTTTAAAAATTGTGGGGGTACATGCCCCCAGTCCCCTCCTTGAAGATGGCTGTCTTCAGTGCAAGCACCACTATACTGTGCGTTAAATTTTACGTTTTGAAACGTTTCATTCAAACATATTTCTAACGGTTGGTCGCCCTGTTGTATAAAACTGCTATATATTAACCTTCTAGGTAATATTGATAACAATAAAATTCAAAAATGTAATTTATTTAGGTATAGGGCCTACTGAAAACTGTATTTACTGACAGTAAGCCTACGAGAACATCCTTCCATCAATGGCAAAATTTACCACCACGAAGCTCAGTGTTTCTGAAGCAAACAGGAACAGAACTCGCCTCACAACACACTGATATCTGTAAGTTTAGGGGAAGAATTCGCTGTTGTTGTTTTCTTAGTTCTAATCTACACAATGGGTTCTCTGCAATCTGTTTACCGTGAAGAACCGAATCCCGGTTTTTTTTTTCACTGTGTGTCGGTAAAGTTACTACGGAACAAGCTCACCTCCCGAACATACTGAGCATTTTTGCTCTTGGAAGACGACAATGAAGCAAGAAGGAAGAGGTTCACCTTAAAACATATTGACCAACTCTAAAATAACCTAAGACTGCTTCGATTCAACACACAAAATTAAATTCTTCTGACTTTAGCAAAAGTTAACTTCACTTTCTTGAAAACAAAAAGTTCCACTTTACACTTTTAAGACAAACTTACTACTGTTTCCTTGCACTTAAATTAATTTTTAGCACTTTCAAAAGTCCTAATGTTTCAGCAAAAAAGTAAACTTTTTGAGTAAGTTTTATATTTCTTCACTAAACACTGCAATAGATGCTCTAGTTAGGTTAGCTTTGTCTCTTAAATACACTTATGCGTAACGCGATCAACTGTCAGTCTTTTAGTGAACGTGGGATTCAATAGAGCTGATCGTGATGTAAAGATAAAAGTTATAAAAGCACAGAGTGGAAGTAACCTACGTTATTATATTTACACATAATTTGTCTAGAATATCGCCAAAAGATCCATACAGAATCGTAGGCTAACAAAATATCAGAGGTCATGGAAGAAAATGGTTATTGCAAGGTTCCTTGGAGTTGGATCAGACAACGTCATCAACACGAAGAGTGTTATGGTAGCATGTTATTGTTTCACCGCAAAGCTACACAATGGGCTATCTGCACTCTGTCCACCTTTGAGAATCGAACCCTGGATTTTAGCATTGTAAGCCAGCGTGAATAGAGCTTGGCATCTACTTTGATAGAATTCCGTGACCATCTCAGAGCATTCTGCAGTTATTGTTCTTAAACATTACCTCGTGAAAATAAAGAAATTACCCACAATCGTGACGCAATGAATACAATTATGCCCTACATTCCCACCTTCTGAAAGAAATGTGCATATTTATCCAGATGAAGAAGAAAAAAGCATCTTTGAAATTTGGAATGAAAATACCTTTGGGACCCACTGTTCTTCACCTTCTAAATCTTGTGACACAAGTCATGATCAATATCTAAAGATATGTTGCCTATCCTGGAGAGGGGTAAGAAAGGTTCGAACCTTGAACAACAACATCTGCAATCTCTAAAGATGAAATGCCTATCCTAGATAAGGAAAGAAATGCTCGAAGCTTGAACAACGCCATCTACAATCTATAAAGATGTTATGCCTATCCTGGAGATGGCAAGAAAGGCCAGAAACCCGACTATCTTACTAAGGAAAGTCATAGAAGATGTGCCTGTCGTTCATGAGAGAGATTTAATTTGGGCGCTGAGGGTACAACCAAGGTCTGCGGTTAAAACTATTTGTGCGGAAAATGTTCAGAAAGTGACTGTGATAAGAGTGAGAGACATTGTCCGCAACAATGTGGAAAGGTGAGGAATGTCGCTGTCTCAAGTTTCTGTAACAATCAGGTGATACTTCAATAAATACGTGATTAAGCACTCTGAAAACGCAAAATACTTGTTTCAAAATTAGCTGACAAAAAATGAATTAAACAAAATCTAAAGAGTTTAAACAGATAAATAGAACTCGAAAACAACCGCATGACAGATTTAAAAATGGATAATAAGCCAATAAATAAACCATCTATAGTAACAGAATAACTAATGTGTTTATGTGTGTAGGAATATTCTGTGAATTTCAATGAGTTCAAACAGACAAGATCTTTCGCCTGACTGATTTTATAATGAGAGTCCCACCTCGTGGTCGCGAGCAAATGTATTAGAGGTGCATGTTTCAAGAGAAACATAGAGACTAGAATATAGTATCAACGCCTATTTTCAGAGGAAACACTATGATGTCCTTCTTCAATCATCTTGTTTATGAACTTGTAGCTTGTAAGTTGGGCTGAGGAGTGAAAATTCCAAGACTCGAACTCGCAATATGCTGCCCAACACACACCAAACATTCAGCAGTAGACGCATTATAAAATACGACACTCAATTTCTCTATTCAGTAAAGAGTAGCAATATAGTTGGCGGATGCTTCTCACCGGTTGTCCTCCCTCGGGTCAGCAGTTACGTTTAAACCTTTGTGTGTCCGAGTTGGTCGTTCAAACCACGAGTTGGATAAAATACAGTTCAGTAAGGAAATATCAAATACCGAACACTTAAAATGCATTTTTTCCATGTAACATCTTTACAGTTAGTTGGAAGGCATTCAGGTGAATAGGTTGAATGATGAAAGGTTTTTATTTTTTGACAGACCTTGCAATCTATTTATAACCATAAGAGATCGATCTGTGGAAAAAATTAATGAAATTCGAATATTCTTCCGCTTAGTCACAGCTAAAGCATATTATAACCAACAGTATATTGACAAGTTAATGAAAAACTAGGAACCAATAATTAAGAACCTCAGTGATGTATCAGGCGTGGCTGGAATGCTCCATTTCTCTTCAGTCCTTCATTAACTATTGCCTTGCGACACCAATCTCGTTGTCGTGTTTTTCAAGCAACAGCCAAACATTATTACAGCATGGTCCAAAAAGAAATATAATAGCTTCCAAGAATTATATATGTATATACGTACCTTCAAACTCTCTCTCTCTGAAGTTAAATGCCTGTGTAATTTTCATAAATATAGCTTTCGATAAATTATGGGATGAATCTTCGTGTAATATTTCTTTCGGTAAAATCAAAATAATAAAACTTTGTGAACGATGTATATAACCTCTGAAGTTTGATCATTAAAACAACCCAGGAATAGCTAATACTGTTCTCTAATTTGGTGAATAATTTCTTTATTTATATCTCTGGTTGGCTTATCTACCTTTTTATTATGGACTGAAAGAAATTCCGAAAAAAAAAATTAATAGAAGTTTTCCACAATTTTAAAGAGCCTCCACTATGGTAGAGGCGAATTTTCTGATGTCATGACAGGTTGTAAATAAGTGTGGACACAGAATGCTGTCTAACAATACTGTCAGAAGATAAAACAGAATTTTGTTGACTACTCTCTAAATTGTGATGGCTTAAGAAA